ATTAAAATTAAATATAGATTTTCCTCGATATGATATCGTACTTCTTACTACCATGTAATCTCTCTTGAAAATTAATTAATACCACTACAGAACTTTATTTGATATGCCTACAGTAGTTACAAAAAGTATTAGCACACCATTGTATTTATCATGGGATTTAGTTAATTAAACGTAAACATATCTAATTAGTTTTATTAATCCTTACGATACGCTCAGTATGCTTCATTTTCAAAGACATACAATTTTGTTATGATAAACGATCGATAAACGGTCAAAGTGTTGGCAAACGTATGCCTCCTAATTAATTCCCCCTTGCGGTATGCTTTGGAGAAAGAGAGAGAAAACTAGTTCCCCATTGGAGCTGGCCGACGTGAAAAGCATCGGAATACTAATCGGCAAAGAACGCGGTTTGGAATGTCGGATGAATGTGAATTCCTACGTGCAAATGAGATTGGCCGTCGCGGGGCTGCGAGCAAACGTGTTATTGGAAAAGATTCTAACGACAGGATCCAAGGCATCCCATTCGACGATCGACAGGCCAGTCAACAAAAGAACACGAGAAAGTAACGGACAAAGGGGAAAGGACGAGTGGGTGGAAACGTTGGAAAGAAACGAGCGAGACATAATGAAGGGAAGGAAGTGAATCCTTAAGAGGGCGGTAGACGAACAAAGGATATCTCGATTCGGTTTCGAGAATGTCGTAGAGTTATCCAACGGCGAGGATGGAAAGCGAACCAAACGAAATCAACGCAACGTTAATTAGTCAAGACGAAGGTACGACACGGACATTGAGACGCAAATGAAATTTACCGCCGAGTCGAAGCGGATCCGGCAAATTTCCTCTAGCACTTAACGTTACTCTCGGAATGAAATTAAACGTCCGGCTGAACTATCAGGAAAGATCGGAGAAATTTGAAAATCGGTCTCGATCATTCGTAATGGAATCACGATATCAAGCGTTAACTCGTTTCCTTCGCTACTATCAACAGTTCGGATTCGCCTTTTAAAAGGATTCAGTTCGATGGAGAGTTTCGCGCGAAGGTTCGAAGGTGGTAAGAAAATAAAAACATTGCGAATGAAAAGAACAATAAACGTGCGAAAAGAAAACAACGATGGTAGGATGGTAAAGAGAATAGACGACAACGGGAAGATGGACCGAAAAACTGACGTATCGCGCCGACCGAGGATATGGAATGTTTGCAAAGTAAATTTGGCTGAACGCGAAAGAAGAGGACAACTCGATTTCGAGTTTTAATCCAATTCCTTGCACCCTAGGGCTTTCAAACACATCGCGTCTCCCTTCATCCCTGATCGTTCCTTGTTGACTCGCTATATTCTTCCTTGTTCAGTCATCCTTTCTACCTTCTCCATTTCCTGTCTCACCATTTGCCAGGCATCTGTATTCCTGACCCGCGAAAATATTCGCTCCGAAGGAACCCAGCCACAGTCTCTCCAGCGACTATAACTCTCCTCGCATCGACTAGCCCACGTTCACCTTGCAAACACGTTTACGTAACCGTGGCCGCACACGCACGTACTCATGGCCACGTATACATCCCACCAACTAAGGATTTTCTGGATCAGAGGCACGAAGAGAGAGAAACGAAGTTTCAAGTCGACTCTATTGCCAACACCGAATCTCTGGACAAAGGGAAATACTGGGAAAATGTCGTTAGCGAAGAAGGGTATCATCGTAAAGGTGAGGCACGAGAAGGTGAAGCCATTCAGAACAGAAGCGTGGGATTTGTCGGAAGAAAGCAAAGTGTAGGATTTGCCCAGAAATAGAAAACTGGCTTCGATGTCTGATCCAGGTATATGCTTGAACACGGGCAAGAAGATTCTTTGCTTGTTACGAAGAAACAGAAACAAATTGTTCGGCAACATGAAGGACGAACGGAAGGGAATAGAAAGGAATAAAGTGTGAAGTATGGAGAACGATATTGCAAGAAATAACTTGCGATGCCATAAGCAAGAATATCGTTAACGAAGAAAATATTTTCTGCAGATTTCCACACTCGAACAAAATGGCTGATATTGAAACTATCTTGTGTTCATACATGTGTATATAGTGAATGAGCTGTATATAAATGGTAATTCGGTAATAAATGGTAATGGAAATCAATGTGATTACTTAAAAAGTAAAAAAAAAGACGATCTGTATGAATATGTAAGTCAAGCAAACTCTTTAGAAAAGAAGTTTTCATTGTTGACCACAGGGAAGGATAATTGGAATTGGGTGGTTTACGCGCGATTGAACAAAAGAAAGGAATTATTCATGACGGTTTGATGGGATATTTCTGACGCATGGCCTCGTTAAAATGACGTATTTCGTTATCGACGCGACACAGTGCGTAGAGGTGTGAAAATGTACCGAGTGGAAAGCGGATATTTATACCGGTCGAAATAAATCAACGGATTGATCCCAACTTTGATTACACTGTTCGTCCACGCATGGACCTATACAACCAATCCATTGATCCAAGTGCAATACTAACGCGATAATTTTTCATTCAAGTATGCTCCTATACATTCAAATATCCTATGCGCCTTGAATTTATGAAAAATATTATTTTTCATTCTCTTTTGAATATTTAATAACGTTTAATGCAAAATTAAATAGAAACTCAATCATTTTAAATGAAGATAAATTTCTATCATTCAACGAAGCTCGTCGCGTTATTTGTTAAATATAATACAAACACAAAATCCACATCAGAGGATAATAAGCGAGCAACGAGAGGCAATGTCAACAAGGTAATTTAATCGAAATCGTATTTTCTGTGCCGATCTTGTTTAACCACGCGGTACAGCGCGACATCTACAACGGTGCAATTTTTGTGTAGCAATAATACACTTGTAATGTACAAGTTTATACGTAATTGAATGAAAAGAGGCCGCGATGTTACGTTCGTATCGCGTGCATTCCGTGGACTGCCCACCCACCCTCTTCACGAGACTGTTATGGCTCTTTATTGAACGAGTTAATACTGCTACGATATTTAATTAGTGTCAGTTTTCGGTCGAGTCTCCGAGGATTCGATCTTTCATTACTATCACCAGTGTCGACACGATATTAAATCTGGTAATTTTCATACTAACTGGTTGATTAACCGAATTACCAATGCATGTGAAATACTGCATCTCTAATAAATGACACATCGAAATCGATATTATCCAAATAACTATCGTTTAGCTTTGAATTGTAGTTTAGATGGAAATAATACAGTGCGAGCATAAAAGCAGCTAAAGCTTCACACATTTCGAGTGCCGAAACATGTAAGTGGAAACACTCTTGAAGAAATAAAAATCTCGAGTCCCTTTTATAGCCATGCACTTTCAACTTGAAACTGCTTTTGTTTGTCTCTTTCAAAAATACGGTAACTATGAAAACTATATTTGCACATCATTGCATTTATCAGGCTCAAAAATCTCAAGTTCATAAATTTCATATCATCTAATAGTTCTCTTATGTGACTAGAAAAATTTGATACTATGAAAATGAAACGTAGAATTTGATAAAAGAAACGTTTCATTGGAAAATAAGGATATGTACAAATATTTTTTGTAGCCACTGTATACATTTCACGATTACAATTACGAATTTCCCTTTGTCTCATAAATATTTTTAATTGAATGAAGAAAAACAGAGACGAAAAATACAACGAAACTTCAATTTTATAATAGGATAAGGAGACCAGTATATAGCGATATCGAAGTAGAGGAGGAGGAATATAAGATAAGAAATTACGAGCAATTGTTCCCCAGAATCAGGAGATTTTAGATTTTCGAGAACCGTAATCGTTCATCGGTCGAGCAATTATCGCGTCACGCTTAATTCGATATTTCAATGTCGTAAACAGGAAGAGAGAGAGAGAGCGTATAATTGATATGGGCTTCCATCCGTCACAATTTCCATTGGAAATGATACAGATCTAATTACAGATTGCTCGAAGAAATCCAAGCTAAGAGGATACTTTCAGAGATTTTACGATGTTGGCTCAGCGTTTCTCTCGGCTTCCCGTAAAATTAAATCCATAGATTTGAGGTAGCTGGTTTTGCTCCTTCGTGATCTTTACATGAACTATATATATCGAGCCGAATACCGACACGTCGAATATCTCAATATCGAACGAAAGGATCGCAGTTTCTTTTGCTATTCGTAAAGAAACAGATTAAAGGCGGGCCCCTACCGCGACCATCGTAATAAATGTTATCCCTAGTCGAAATGGCTACCTTTATTCCAGTTTTTACGGGTATGTATATCGTTACGTTCAATTCATATTTGAATGACAATGAGCACATCGCGCCATCAAACTCAACTTCAGAAATTCTCTACATTCTATGTAGACGATCAAGAGGTTGAAGGTGTTTGACAAAATTTGAAGTACCATAGTTTGTCCTAATCTATTAGCCAGGAAAACAAGTTAACTTGTCACTAGGAATCCTAATTTCTTAAATTTTTAAATTCATCTTCTGAAGCCATTATTTGTGTCATTTCTTAAGATGTAAATGCAAATGTAATGTAATATGTCTTTAAGAAATTAAATTACAGGAAGGCATTACACGAAACAAAATCGATTAAACAGAAATTAATCTATATTAATCAAAGAAGTCGGGGAAAATAAACAATAAACACCAAAGATTCTATTGATACTACTATAAATTAAAACACTAGATAGAACCGGATACGAATAAAACATAGCATCTGTTAGTACCTATGAGAATTATGTATAAGGTTAGATTTCAATAGAATTGTTCCGCTTAAATTTAATGGAAAATGTGTTTCCCATTTGTTTTACTAAATCCTATTTTTTTCCGTGTCGAAAACTTCTAAAGTATTTATGGAACAAACTCGTTATATGTTCTGCAAAAATTATATTATACCACGATCGATTGAAATTTATGCGAGTATTATATGCAATATGGCGACTAATGTGCTTCGAAAGAGCGCTCAAATATTAAACTCCAAAATGTTTAAATATGAAACTCTTGTCTTACCACATCCAACAATTATGAATAGCAAGCCCCTGGTAATCTCACAAAAAATCCTTTATATTCTTACAATATTAATGGGAACACTAAAAGCCACGGTAAAATCGAGCGTAGAACTACACGATATGCGTATCACAAATTAAACTGGTAAACAGTGCTGCGCACGCATCATCGACCGGAATATCGATCGCAGAGCCGTTTCGTGTTAATTCTTACAACTATCGAAATGAAACGCCACTGCGAATGCGTCGTTTGTACGTTGTGTCGTAAACATGGACCCCTTGCGTCAATTACATAACTTATGTTACATTACTAATTGTATAACAAAGCAATCGAATTGCTTGTTTCGTGTGTAAATCGTATGTAAATTATAAGACATCAATTATCAATTAATATACTGTGGAAAGTGTAAGTTGGAGAAATCAAAGTAAACGCGAAAGTGTGTTACTGAATCGAGTAGTCCGAGAAAATACGTGTTCGAAGTTGTGCGAGCATAATCAGGTTAGCTGATCGACCGGTTGATATGTATTTACTGGGATAATTCATTGTCAAGCAATTCGTGTGTGCAATAAGTGTCCACAGCATCGGAGTTTGTCAAAGTCCGAAATACGGAAAGCCAGTCAGATCGATGGATGGTTCGCGAAAGTCAGGTTGAATGGCGAATCTTCTCGATGATGGAACGACGTCGTGACAAATATTTTGGATGGAATAACATACTGTCGACTTCAGTTTTGCTTGACGAGCCAAGGTAAGCGAACGAGAATGTATTACAAAATGCTATTATTTATCTTGTCCTTATGAAATACCATTGTTTTCAACTATTTTATACTTTAAAGTCAGTGGCATATATTTTGTTGTTTTCCTTTTAGTACCCGACGTAGTATTTTCTGTGATAAGCTTATTTTATGTTTCACTCGTAACAAAGATATTTCGGGGACATCAAAGACAAACGAAAACCGTTTGCAGATCGTTGCACGTTGGATTATAATAAATTCCTGGCACGTGCTATTGCTAGCGTTATTTGGTGAAGCGAAGCTAAAGGAACTCCCTTCGATAAATATTACAGCACGTATACTCGCAAATTTGATGGAAACTGCGCGCTTGCTGGTAAAACAAACATGTCAGGGTTAACGGTTATATGATGGTTGAAAGCGTGCTATTAATCGTAATGCCATCTCCATTAAACGTTTCGCGAATTTAATCCGCCAAGTAGAATGACGTATGTACTTAGTACTGTAAATTTTTACTACGTTTCCTTAATGGACACTACATTTAGATATTCTGACACTACACATTTACAATATATCTTTTCATTTTAATTAGAAAATTCTACTTGTTATATTAAAAATGTTTACAGTTACATTTCAACATCCGCTAGAACGAAAATAGAATCTTATACTACTCAAATATCGACCGCTTGATAGAAGGACAATTACAATTCATCCATGGAATAGAATCAAACTTTAAGGAAGCCCATCCCCTGGTAATGTAGCTAGTTTGCTTGTTAATCGCGCCCCAAATTGCACAAAACAGATCATTATACACGAATCAGTCAGTGTTCCCTTTCTTCCTCTATCCGGTAGATAGTTCATCTTCTAATCCATCCACTCCGGAATTCCAGTTTCATTTAAGAGGATAGCAGTTTCCATCCATTCTTCACCGATTACTAGCTCGACTGCTTCTCAAGGAGAGGGTGAATTAAGCTTGAAAGATGACGTTGGGACGCTCGTCGGATATTTTCCTTTACGATCAAATTCCACGAATTCGTCGGCGGTTCAGCAGCCTGTGCATGGTCTTATCGCTGTTTATGACATCGAACATAACGTTTCGAAGGAGGAGCAATCTCTGTCCAAGACTTTCTACGCTCGATACATTAAAGGGAACTTTACGATCAGGCCGAGTTCCCTGCCAAGATTGATTGAAAATGCCCGACTCGAAATGCGAAACCATCTCAGGGTAAGTTGATTTCCGTTAGTCGAACCTCTATCCTTTCCATCCAGTGTACTTAGGGCCTCTGGGAAGATTGGTCGGGCTCAAAATCAGTCGGAAAATCAGCTTTTAATCGAACCGTTTTATCGCGCGTTCGTTTCGATGTACGAGAGCTAACCCGGGCTACGCCCTCGAAGCAAAATCGAGTAGTACGTAGTTAAATCTGACAGCGACTGATGAACGAGTCGAGCCCGAACCGGTGTTAGATAATCTTTGTAACGTTAACGATCGCTATAACTGTAACAAGCTGGATCGACGAAAAACCCGATTCCGCTTCGATTTCAATCCACTTTTCCAATTTATCTTCTCTCTTCCTCTCTCGCCTGTTTTCTCTCGGCTTATCATTCATTTTCCAACTCCTCTCATTTTCTCGCTGATATATGCAACGACAGGAACCTTCTTGCAACAAAACGTTTTCCTCGTTTTCATATCGCTGCATCTTTCTTAAATAGCCGATAATATCATCTTTTTATGAACATAAAGTATTCCGAGAAAATTGGATGAAAATACCGTTATCCCGTTATACGGTGAATGGATCGCGGTAAATATCGGATTGGAGAATAATCGTGGTGTCAGAAGATTTAATTAATCAGTAGATGCAATTTTTGTAAGTCCATAAAGGGGAAAACGAGAAGTGATAATGATTATAAGCATCTTCGCATTTATATTCCCTCCCCTTTTCCTTAGAATTGATGACACGGGATCCCTCAGGGTTAAAGCTCAAATAGAATCACGATAATTTATGGTCGAGGTCAAACTTAATCGGTTAACCAGAAACGCACAGGTCAATTGACGAATCTCGTTGAAAGAATAGGGGTCTCCTAGAATTTATCTTTTACGCTGAATGCTTCAACTTCGAAACCGCATATATGTATATTCGCGATTTCCAAAAATTACCGTGGAACAGCTTCATCCATGAATCATGTAGGGGGATTTAATGAAACGTAAATTCATTCTTATTTAATCGTTCACTCTAATCTTCTTTTATGGAAATTTCTTGACCTTTTTGCTAAACCGTCAATTTTAGAAATGTTACCGAGAGCCATTAGTACGTAAGTTGGTTGAAGAAATGGACACTGAGAACTAATTGCTCCTCCTTGGAATCTCTGTCTGGTTCAACCTGTTTCTTTCTATCATTTGTACGAAGCCGAAAACCTTTACCTCTAACGCGAAAGCAAGCCAAGGGAACTTATACAGAGAATTTTATTTAAAATGAGAAATGAAGGTTCTTCCCGTTTCCCACTGAGAACAATACTTTCTCAGGAAAAAATTCTGTTTTTCTATCCACGAGATCGATGTTTTTCGAAGTGTTTTACTCTTGCTGTTCATCTTTGTCAGGGTGCAGCGCAAGCAAACGAAAAACAGGAAGCAGAATGAATGGAACAGAAATTCATGTAGATCGATGTCCCACGGAATCACACGTTTCTTATTTTTAATTCAACTATCAAATTTAACTGCTGTACGTCTATCGATAGACCATCGAGCGACTAAATTGCTAAAGTTTATTACTTAAAAGGCTTGGAAAGTTTCCAATGGATCTCCGATCTTTTTACACGCCCTTCCATAAATATACGTAAGAAAGCTTCGCGATAACTTCGACGTAATATCATTCGCAAAGAAGAAGAAATATCTGGCCGATAAAACGATAAAACGTGGTCTCGCTGGAAACTGTATAAAGTACGAAAGACTCGTCGAAAGCAACTCCCAAATTGTACAACAGTGCATGGAATCGCTACAGGCTGTGTAAGTTAGAAACGTAGCTTATTCGTTGTTCAAAATTAAGGTGGTAGTCGCGTCGACTACCATATGCTCGCGTTCGTTGGTCTTATTACGTTGGAACCGAAATAGCGAATATAGCGATGTCGGCGCGACTTTATTGCGCGAAAGAAGCCTTGAAGTTCCGGGCTTTCCCTGGAGATAACTCGGTTGCACCGCTACTACATCGGGATTACAATGTTTTACGCTTCGCGGAGCCATTTCTATTCCGGCAACTGCGCGGAACGGTGTATTAGCCGGTCGTTGTGACGTTTATTCGGGTCGTAGGGAAGCTTCTTAATACGCGCTAGCTCTTGCCACACCGGCCACGCTTTTAATAGCATTCGCCTGGCCAGGACTTGCCCCTTGTCGTTGCGTGTTCGAGACAGAACTTCGGTCGGCTTTAGCCTCTTCGACTGGTCGTGTACAAAGCAACGATGCCTGAATACCCTCGGGGAACGGACGAGAATTCCGAATAGACGGTAGACAGACCCGATTACGAGCTTCTTGTTGTCTAATTCCGCGAGCAATCACAAAGTACTAGCTCCGTCGGATTTATGAAAGTTTCATTAAAGAAAGCGCAGCTGCGTGAAAGAATATCGAGCGACCAGGCATTGTCGAGGCCTGTTTCCGGCTGCACGAAGAGGTGTCTTGATTATGGGAAAAATGTCTCGTGCCTTTTCGATGATGTCGTGCTTTATCATCACAGCTGAGAGTTTCAAAATCGCTTTATTTAGTATCGACAAAGACTTATTCTTCGTTTGCTTGAAATTATCGTGAGATTACTTTGCCTGCAGGACACATAACGAGGCACAACGAGGAATAATAAGGAAGAGACGTTCAATTCGGCGATCTTCTTTTTATGCTTGTTTATTATTTAAATCTGGTATCTGGTATCCTCGTTACGTTATATTTCGCGAAGGATTGTTCTCTCGGTTTTATCGCCACGTAAAAGTTTCGCATCGGCTCGTCCATTCTTGATTCATGAACGACGGAGAAAAATTCCATTGAAATTTAACGCATTCAGTCTTAACGGGTAACGTTCTTCTAACAGCGAATTGTGTAACATTACAAAAAATATTGGAAATTCGTTCTGAGGCGAGGCAGCAACCGAATCTCATAGCCGATATCCATGTTGAAAGAAAAAAAATCGCCCCACGTACATTCGAGTTTTGCAGAAAATGGAAATTCTCGGTGCTCTTTATCTCGAATAGTTTTTGCATATCTCGTTCTCCCATATTCTCGTTCGTATCCTTTGTACATAATCATCAATTTCCCAGTAGAATTGATGGATAGACCACGACATCTTTTATAAAAGCTATCGACCCAAAAATAGCGGAGAAGAATTATGGCCCTGGCCCTCGAACGTTCTACCCGCAACAATAGCGTTGGCTTGACTGGTGTTTAAAAATCCTCGAAGAAATAAATAACGCATCACAAATTAACTTCACCTGACTGCCCCTTCGTTTTTGTGGCAACTTTTTAGCGTATCAGACGTTCTTCTGCGAATCCTATTTCTCAATTTTCGTCTGTCAGAAGCAGACCAGTTCGTTCAATTACCCGCTGCAATTTGATAAGAACAAGTAACCTCCCATCCCGGCAATATTCGTTTCTTTACCTCTCTCGCAAACAGAAAACTTTATTGCTTAGCTTGACGTAATACTACTCGTCGACAGATGGATGGATCGCTTATTGGCCTTGTTGCTGTATCTCGAAAAGACGCTGGAGAAATGTGATTTTACAAAGAGATTATTTCGTGTGTTACGGACTTTTGTGTTTCACATAACGTAACTTTCTATCTGGCCTTCTGAATTCGTCGGTTTTTCTCCTTATCGGCACACCATCGTTTCCAGCCGACCACGTTAATCCGCATCCACTTCGCTCGCAATCTTGCTTGCGCCTTCAGGAACCACGGAGAAATTCAAGTCACGTGAACGAATACTCGCACGAGTGCTTCTTCGTACAAAGGGGAGAACAAGATCGTAAACATAATTTGCAATTAGCCAATTTTGCTGCTCCGATCGACCGTGGCATCGACGCGGCAATTGCTGGTCCTTTCAAAACAACCGTTTAACCGAGAATAGTATCGATCCCGCCGTTTGCATTTTAACATGGAATCTGTTTCAGCCGGGGTTCGTTTGTAGTTCTCGTTAAAGTAATTCAAGGGGGAGACCCGTTCATCGCGGCTCCAACTTAGAAACGCGGGATCCGAGTTCGAAACTCTTTAACAAACGCGATTATGATACCGCGTTATTCCCAGTTTGTCGATTGTTTCGCGCGTCTTAAAGTGGCAAATAAAGTTCCGTTAACAAATTGTGTAAATCGCGTTGCCGATATGAAATGCAGGCTGAATGGGACTGGCAAGGGCGACGCGAGGACAGATGCTAAAGTTTTCCGTTGCTTCGTCGCGGCACGTCCATGTTCCCATTAAATATTTCTTTGTCAGATACGGGCGAAACTTCCTGTGGGAGGGTCGGAATATTTCATCACTATTCTCTCGTTGCCAGGCACAACTGCAACTCGTAATTATAATCTCGAAACCCGATCCTTATTTCAATATTCCCACACGCAGGCATGCCTTTCTCAAAATTCATTTCATCTTACTCCAACGGCACAAGGAGCAATTACTTTCGTAATATTATGCGAGATTACGTTGTTTAATCTGGCGAAACGGCGAAAGTGTCTAAGCAACAACGCCGTTTTAATAACGCCTCTTTTATACATCAAACGCAAGTAGAAGCAGATCTCTCTAGTCAGACGTCAGGCCGGAATCAACTTGCTACAATACTTATGTACGATGTGAAACTATACGAAGGTTTCAAACAATGGCAAGAAAGAAAGGATAAAATTTTACAAGAATAAAGAGGACAAAGGCAGCTTACCTGACGAGTTCTCATCAGCAAATGACGTTAATAAATGAACGGTTTGAGGAAACAGTTCTTCGTGTACCTGGTACTTTCGCTATTCGAACGAAGTTATAGTCGTGTCTGCATGTATCACAAGTTTCCGCACGAGAAGAAAATTGTTCCAAGCTTGCAAGATATATGCCTGCTTTATTTGACCCATTCAGGAAATGTATACATTTAATTTAACTGCGTACACCTCCATTCTAGGATATAAATTATGTTTTCAAGTACACCAGTAATAACGTTTATCATTGTGTAGCTTCTAAGGTACAAACATATTTCCATTCATTTGTACGCGCGACAAGT